CCTAGAAGCCATTTTCTGAGTATGTGACTTAGAAAGAAAAACTGGAACTGGGTAAGGCCTTGAAAAACAAGTTAATCATGAGCACCGGGTGGTGGGCAGCTGTGACCCTTGGTCAGCTAACCTTGGTCAGTAAATCTTACATACCAAGCTTATCGTGCAGAACCTCCCTAACCATTGAGGAGTAGTCTTACCCTGCCCTTGCTTAACCCCAGGATATATGTCTTGCAAGAATAATGTATAGTTATAGAAAATTGCTATGAGTTAAGTGCTTTGAAATTGCTATATAAACCCTTGGCTCTGAGTGCTCGGGGTCCTTGTTGAGACCCGCTGCATCGGGCTGACTTGGACCCCAACTAGTTGGCTGAATAAAGACTTTGCTTGAATTTACATCTCTATGCCTGTGTAGTTTGTTCTCTGGGGAAGCCTCGGAAGCCTGCACCCTAACAGTAGTACTTCTCAAAGCACCTGGGATTTGCAACCAAATTCTTTTTTTTTTCACCAATCTAGGGCGAATCAACATTTTTATAAAATTTATAAGTATAAATTCCTAAAAATGAAACTAAAAAGACAAAGAAAATGAGCCCCCATTTTTTATTATTAGGTTCAACAGACATAAATTACATTTCAAAACTTTTTTTTTAAACAACTACTATAATAAGTTTCTAAAGACACAGTCTCCATCTGTACCAATTTTCACATGGATCAGTAACTGTGTCCATGCTTCGCACTATGTATAGCACTGGTACATAAAAGAGGTTTGGAGGAGAGAGCACTGGATCTGAGAGGTTTGCTGCCTAGCTCCCCCACGTGCTCATGGCATTCCCTTGGGCTTCCCTTGACTGTTCTGGGCCTCTGATGTCTTATCACTAAGGTGGGATAATACCTTTTTATAAGGACAAGGAAAGACAGAGGCAAAGTGCCTGGAAGGTAGGTATTCAATAAATGCTACCAAGACCTAACATTTCTATTGCCAGCTGTGTTAATTTCCTACTTCTGGGGATTACCACAAATTTAGTGGCTTAACACAAATGTATTCTCTTGCAGTTCTGGAGGTCAGAAGTCGGAAATGGGTTTCTCTGGGTGAAACCCAAGATGTCTGTAGGGCTGTGTACCTCCTGGAGGCTCTGGGGCAAAACCATGTCTTTCCTTTTCTACCTTCTAGAGGCTGCCTGCATTCTTCAGTTCATGGCCCTTCCCTCCATCTTCAAAGCCAGAAGTGTGGCATCTTCAAATCTCTCTCTGACTCTGAACTTTCTTCCTCCTCTTCCACTTTAAAAGACCTTTGTGATTACATTAGGTCCACCTGGATAATCCAGGCTAATCCATTGTGTTACGGTCAGCGAATTTGCCAGTTTAATTTTCTCTGCAACCTTAATTCTCCCCTGCCAGGTAATATATTCATATTCATATTGGACATACTCAAATTCTTGGGGAAGGTGTCATTATTCTGCTTACCCTACTCCCTAATATAATTTATGCAATAGGTATTTACTAAGCACTTAGGGTGAGGCAGGGTGCTCACTTGAGGAGTATAACCAGATAGAAGGCAGTGGTGGGCCCTGAGTTTATAGAGTTTGTGTTTTAGAGAAGAAGACTAACATTAGACAAATTATTAAAAAGTATTAGGAAGGAGGGGTATATTATGAGTGTATTTGCTGGGAATCCTGATGTCTACTAAAAGAAAAGCTCATTTAACATTTATCTAAAGATACTACTCTGTATGCACATGTGTTAAACAATTTAATGGAAACTATTATAGCAATTGCTTGAGACAATCTATATTGGGAAACTTGGGAAGCTTATAAAACCAACAAAATTTCATAGTGTAAGGCCCCAGAACTTATATATATATATACATATGTATGTATATATTTATATATATATGTATGTATTTTATACATGCATCCCCCATACACATTATACACACAATGATTCCTTTCTACATTATACTCTGAGAATCAGCATTTCCATTTTCCAATTATGCTTGTTCAAAAGAGTCACTGATACCCACAGCCCAGGTTCCCTGCTGCAGGCTTTCTGAATCAGATTCTTCGGGGGCCTGGGAATCTTCATTTAAAACCAATTGTCTTGTCCGCATCCCCAATGCCATAGTGATTCTTATGATCAGACAAGTTTGGGAAACAAAAGTGTACTGAAAAGAAATAACCAGTTGTCTGGAAATCAGGAAGTTTAGCTTCTAATCTCACCTCTTCTTCGTTAGCAAACTCAAGAACTTGATCCGCATTTGTAAAATTCAACAAGTGATTCTTGAATGGGGCAATTTTGCTTTCCAGGAGTTACTTAGCATTGTCTGAAGATATTTTTATGGTCATGACTGTGGAGGGAGGATAGAAGAAGAGCCCAGAGAAGCTGCTAACATCCTGCAATGCACAGGATCCCCCACTGCAAAGAATTATGATCCAGCTCAGAATGTCAGGAGGACCAGGATTGGGAAACCTTACATTGAAGTGCTTTATCAGGAAGTGTTCCCAGTGAAATATGGGAGAGGAGAAGGAAACAGTGGAGAGAGCAGTGTAGGAAGCTAGGCAAGGGAGAGATGTCAGGCCAAGGACGACGGGGAGGCTCTAGAAGCAGTGCCCACCCCACCTCAGAGCTGTTCTTCTCAGGGACAAGGGAGCTGGCGGATTCATACCCCCGCAGGTCAGTCGCAGCTCATGGACTGCCGCTGGTCCAGCTCTCTTTGTGGAAGCAAAGCGAGCTCTGGATCCAGCTTGAAGGCTATGCCCCAAGGTACAGGTTTTGGGGAGTGAAAGTGCCCAGGGAACCTGGAAGAGGAAAAGAGGGAAAGATCCCTGGGGTGGAGTGTTGACAGGGTCTGTTACACTAGAGTGGTAGTTCTCAAACTTCTTTTTTGCTACGAGTCTTTATTAGAAATAAAACTTTTCTTAGAAGTTCTATATATAATATTAATAAACACAGAATTGCATGGGGTGAGGAAAAGGAGAGTGGGCGGGTCCTTCCTCTGTCTCCACTCTCTCCTTCCCAGTGCTAGGCTCCATAGACCTGGAGCTTCTTAGAAGATTATTGGGACAGTGTGTGAGTCCGCTAGGGGTGCCATAACAAAGTACAACAAACTGGTGACTCAAACAACAGAAGTGTAATGTCGCCCAGTTCTGGAGGCTAGGAGCCCATGCTCTTTCTGAAGGCTCTAAGGGAAATATCTTTCCTTCCCTCTTCCTGGCCTCTGGTGTTGCTGGCAATCCTTGGAGTTCTTTGGCTTGTGGGTGGCCATCTTCTCCGTGTGTCTTCACATTGACTTTCCTCTGTATGTGTCTGTGCCCAAATTTCCTCTTTTTATAAGGACACCAGTCATATTGGGTTGGAGTCCACCCTAATGACCTCATTCTGAAGTATTGGAGGAAACACATCAACATATGAATTGGGAGATGGGCTCTTTTCAGCCCATCACAGACACAATCCCTAAAATCCTTTGCATCATAAGCATTGGTGTCCAGTGTTTCTACATTAAGTGGTTAAGTCAACCTTCAGTGGTATTTTCTGCAGGATTTTGTGTGCTAAGAGTAAGTGACTTGAACACTGACCTCAAGAATTTCACCCTTTGCCATTCCCGGAGGCTCCAAATGGCTATCCCATTCACATCCAATCCAGCAGTTAAGGAAGAAGCCTGAGAGTCACCTTTACAGACTGAGAAGAGCCAACCATTATTCATGAATGCTAATACCATACTTAAGGAAAGGAGGGTCTTCTCACAGCCATTATCTCATTCGATGTTCAAACTACCCAGGGAATTGCTCAGGGAGAAATGTTATTCTCATTTGTCAAATAAGAAAACCAAAGCTCAGAGCATGACCTGCCCAAGGCCACATGGGGTCCAGCTTTCTGCCACTCACTAGCTGGGCCTGTTGCTTTTTTTCATAAAGCCAGCTTACTGTGTCTCTTCCAGTTAATAAGGAAAAGATCTTAGGAAGAATGAAATCTGTGACCAATGAGTAGGAAAAGGTGATACAAGGCTTTTGACTAAATCAAATCTTCCTTTGGAGAAAAACTAATTTGAATCTTTATGATTTGGTTGGAGAACTTTAAATTGAAAGCACATGAATTTGAATAAATGGGCTTACCAGACATCAAGCACTATTCTGAGGGATTCATATGTGTTAATTCATTTAACCCTCGCAACAGCCATTGGAATATATATGTCATTATTATTCATAGTTTATGGATGATGAATTAGACATTCAGAGAGGGACCTGTTTAATAGAATAGAACTCATTCCTGCAGGCACTTCTCCTGGGAATTCCAGCTAATAATAGCAGCAATAGTAAAAATATCAGTCATTTATTGCATACTTTACATAGTTTTCCCTCTACATCCTTACAGTGTCCCTGAGAGACAAACATTTCTATTTCCATTTCATAGACGAATAAACTAAGACTGAGAGTTCAACTAAGATGGCCATGATCCCATGGTTAATAGGTGATTGATCTCAGACAGGTCCATACAGATTCTTGGTTCTACTTTCAGACTTTCCCATACAGCTGGCTGGACAAAAAATGCCATTTGCTTTTAAGTTAGGTCCACTGAGAGATGGATGTTAGCTTCAAGTCCCAAATACCTATAGGGCAGTAAGTAAAGAATTCCTTTCACAGAATTAGAAAATGCCAAGGGATGGGCATTATAGTTAGGCATTCATACACTTTCTAAATACATGTGAGTCATCAGCAATTTTCTAAGACTTCTTAAAATACAGTGTAGTGTCATTCTATTCAGGCAGCAATAATCTGAATTATCAAACTAGCACCTAAATAAATAAAATCACTATGTTATAATTAACTGAATTTTAAACATAACACATTACTTGGTGTATTTATACTTATGATGGAAATGATAATAACGCCAGTTGCCATCATTTCAATATGTAAAGTAATAATAAATGGAACAGTTTCTAGTACACAGTAGGCATTTAATAAATGCTGTTTAAGTGTGTTTACATGTATCAACTCATTTTATTCTAAGGCAATTCCAAATAAAGAGCAGGTATGCTCATTTTTTTCTTCATTTTCTTTTCAAGATCCTCCAGTTGTAATAACTATTAGGCTAGAATTTAGATTTCCTGTAAGTGCTTTATTTTTACCAGTTGGCAAGAATGTTCTGAGTAATAGTACTGGATGGGAGCTAGATGAGGGTGGGAGTGGGGACAGAGAGATCTTTGTCTTATGCAATGTTTTTATTGATGACTTGGATAATATTTTTTCTATGTTTTCATATAATTAGACAATGGAAAAGTCAAAGGGAAATGGGTCCAAAATTATTTAGGGGAAACATATCCAGCTGAAAACAATGGGTCAAAAATCATTTATTCAAAAGTAGGTAGGTTAACTCAACAATACCATCAAATGACAATCTGATAGGGAATGCATATTCCTGACTCCAGAACTCTTCCCCAACTGACAAAGATCTAGTTGGTGGAAAACTATAACATCCTAAGGACAGAAAGGCACTCCCAAGCCTCCTCTGCAGGGTCTCCACCTACTGGAGTGGTGATGGTACCAGCAGGCACCTCTGGAAGACACTGTCTACTTTCCTGTCCCAGGCCATCAGGCAGACCACTGTGTCTCAGGGTGCAGGGTGATGTGGCAATGGGAAACATTAGAGAACAAAAAAAGTGAAGGGAGAGAAGGAAGTTACTAGACTCAACATCTGGCTGCTTGAAAGTCTCTAGGAAGCAGTCCTATCACACATCCACTCCCTACTTTTCCAAGAAGCTGAAGGGATCAAGATTGACATTGTCCCAGATGTTCTCCAGGGTCCATGGCTGGTTGTTGTCTACTTGATCCACGTCTTTCATCCGCCCAAGTGTTCCTACCAATATGAACCCCAGACTATTTGAAAATTTTGCCAAGACTAAGCAGTGTCCTCTATGAACTGGAAAATATTCTTTAATCTTTAATAACAGTAGTATTACTATATCAAAACTCAACCTAAATATTGGCAACAGTGATGAAAAATCACATTGTTTCTCTGAAGACACATTTAGAAACTAAGCTGAAGGGGGTAAATCAGGGGCTGCAGAAGGCAGCTTCTCTACCATGTGGAGAAAGTCTAAATGAAAAGTCCAAGTAAAATTAAGGCAAGAAGAGAAATGATCAGAGAATAAGAGTTCTGGTGGCATTATCACTGTTTCTCCAGAATGTACTATCGAGGGACTGTCCCAGAGCAGGTAGTCAATAATACTTAGTGAAGGAATAAGTGAAAGTCTTACTAGCTGGAACATATTCAAGGTGTCTAATACCATTAAAAATGAGAACTCAAAATATCGGTGCTTATTTACCCATGTTCCTTCCCTGAGGCAGGTTTTGTTTGTCCACACATATCCCTATTCCTCGAGTATAGGTGTGGGTCTAATATCACCCATCTACCTGACCTTCAGAGATGAGACTTATTCTCCCCCACTCCCCAGCTGGGTATAATCTCTGCAGGCTAGAGCACAATTAATTTTATTTATTGACTATTGCTGCTGGCTTATGTAGTTTTTCTGAAAATAACAGCTGTACTCCTTTGTCTATAAATGAAGCATTTATTCCTGTATACTGTAACTCCTCCTAGTTTTATACTCTCAGTCTTCTAAAATTGGCTATCTCCTTAACTTTGTACTGCAGATTTCTACTTCAAAGAACTTTTTACCCAGTGATTTTAAAATTCCACTCTTAAGGGTGGTTTTGATATACAACTTCAGCCAAAAAATCTGTCAAATACGTGATAATACCTGCAGAGTAATCACTGTAGAATTTTTCAAACTACACTTATGCTAAGACCCCGCAGTGCCCCTTCCTACTGATTTAGGATATCTCGACTTGAAGCATGGCAATTATATTTCTAGAAAGCTCACAGATGACTCTTGTACACACCCAAGAACCACTGGGATTTACAGGGTACTTGGGTTTTAGAACTATATTCCTTCTGCCTCTAGGCCTCTAACAACACTCTTGATGTGAAACACTTTAGCAGCACGGTTTAAAGAGACTTGCAGAGGTGTTTTCTCTCTTCCCACTTGGGCTTCCAATGAAAGGTACAGATTCCACCATGCATTCCCACAGAGGAAAATGGCCTCTTTCTCTCCTGGGTTGGAGTCCCCGGAGATGAAGAAAGAGTCCTGAGAAGTCTGAGTATTGCCTGACGGGTGGGAACAACAAGCTCTCATAAGACCTGGGGCAAATCTGATAACTCCCTCTTCTCCTCTTCCCTCTCAGGGGCCAACCTTCAGAGTAGATTCCTAATGTCCCACATTCTACTAGGAAGAATAAAGAGGCATGTCTGAAGCCTGAAGCAGATGCATATTAGACCTGAAATGCAGCCCTATAGCCAACTTTCCAAGATTTTCCTTAGGAAACACTGAGAAAAGAGCCTTAGTTAGCTAGCGCTGCCCTAACCATGCGGAGGTGCAAGGAGCATGGAAACTCCAGAGCATTTCATTTAAACTTTCAGCTTCATTTTAATTTTGTATGACTGAAAAAGGGCCAACTGGGAAATAGGTTCCTTATTTCCCTCTGAATATGAAACTGTGGATTTGGAAACGCTATGGGGAGCAGTGGGCATGCTGCAGTTCGCTGAGAACAGTTTGCACAGCTGCAAAAGGGAGTTTTCTGTGTGCTTGCTCCAGTGAGCTGGAGAGCGTGAGGGTTTGACGTCAGCGGTGCCCCTGAGCATAGACACCAGGTCCACACCCTCTCCCAGTACTCACTGAGCCCCTACCCCACCCAGGCTTCTCCCTGCCAAATGCAGAGTTTCTGAAAGGTGCCAGAGCTCTGCTTATGAAAGAGAAACCCCTGACTGGGTGGGGTGGAGCACAGCACTGGGACGAGTTAAGAGACACACTGTCACACTGCTCAGTCGACTTTGAGGGAACTGAGCAGACTTTGTGGTGGCTGGAGTTTTGGCATAAGACCTTTTTTCCATCTTGTACTGCTTTGAGTTGATTTAGGAAGTTTCTCTTACTTAAACAGAAATGTATTTTAGATGTGCAAGATCTGGTTGTCATATTTTCTTGGCCTATTTGCCTCCAACTAATTTTGAAAACCTGCTTTGTCCTAACTGTGCCAACACCTAAGTCACCCAAAGTGTCCAGTTTCCCTCAAATCCACATCTTGAGAAGCACAGATCACTACTTCTAAAACACTTCCTTTTAAGTGAAGATTTTCATGAGTAGATTGTGAGTTCGTGGAGATAATGTAGTTCCAGCTTAGCGGGGGGCACAGTGTCAGGGAAGGGGTTGTTCCACAGGATATTAGCAGTTTGAGCACACATTTGTCACACTTGTCTCTTAGCCCCCAGTTCATTGTTTTTCCTTTATGGTTCTACCACTAATATTAGTTATCATATCATTAGTCATTTAGCCTGCTGGGCACTCAATTTCCTTATTTGTAAAATTAAGATAATTTCTCTCATCACTAAGTTGTTATAAATATAAAATGATATTGAAGATATGGAAGTGCTTTTTAGAAGGTAGAAATGCTACGTGACTGTTCAAACATGTTCAGGGATAGACTGGAGATTGTGAGGAAAATTCCAAGGGAAGACAAGACTCAAAGTGCCATCTGTCAAGTAAGTGCATAACCAAGGTGATTTCAGGTCCCCCAGTCCTGCAGAGAAATGGAAAATGCACTTAGACATGTCAGAGACAGGCAAGGAAAGATGCTTTTCTTATGGCTTTTACTCTATGGAGCTACAAGACTAGGGAATAGAACACTCTTTCCTGCCTCTGGTCCTGCCTACACCAGTTCACTCCATTCCAGGCTGTCAGGCCAGAAACAGCTCTGATCATAGAATCAGGAATGCTAGACTGGAAAGGAACTGCAAGATCATTTCATATACAAGCTGGTCAATATCTGGTATGGTGCTAGTTCTCTCACAGCAGATGTAAGTGGCCACCCAGGCAATTATTACCATCTATGATCTGGACTGAATTTTCTTACCATTTTCCTTCTGAAGTCCCATGCTGCAGTCAGACTGGAATATGGCCTATTATTTGGAAGTTCTACACATTTTCAGGACCAAGAAAAGTGGAAAGGGAACTTGGAGTAGAGAAAACAGTGAGGGCAAGAGCACAGAGAAACAAGATACAAATGTGCTTATGTGAGGTCAGGGATGTGGACTGGAGAAATGGGCTTCAAATGATAGGTATGATTTAGGCAGGCAGGGAAGAGACCTAAGGGCACGTACAGACACACAGAATTTCTGAGCAGAGAGAGAGCTCAGAGTCTATCTAGTCCAGTGACTTTTAAACCATATTCTACAGATTGTTGGGAGTTGCAAGGAAAGCCCTCTCCCAATCCCATAAGTCACAGTGAAAGGGAGTGGAGAAAAGGAGTAAGGAGAGCCCCAGTATATTAGAATCTGGACTCTGTTATCGAATTGGTTATCAAATAAAATGACTCATTTTTCTTAATTTGCTCTAAGTAGTACTACAAGATTTTGCTACAAGATTTCATGTGAAGAAATGGTTTTGAACCAAAGATAGACAAGCAAGCAAAGATTATGGACAGGAAAGTATCTGATCTGGAAAGGGCCTTTGTAAATGACTGGAGATTTTTTAGTAAAATATGAAAATTTCACCTGCGTTTTTCTTACCATTAGCTCTTCTTTGAAGCTCCCCTTTACAGATTTTCTCTTTTCTTCCATTCCTGTTTAGTATTCAAATATAGTGTTAAAAGGGTTGAAAAAGCAGGTGTGGGAAACAAAAATTGGTAAGGTAGGGGAATGGGACAAGAAAGACGAAGTTTCCAGATGAGATTTAAAAAGGTAAAATAGGGCTTTTATCACAACAGGAAGAATAATCCAGAGAAGATTTTCAGAATGTAGACAGGGGAAAAAGCCCTGAGTTCTTGGAATAATAATTGGATAGGGTGGAGGTATAATAAATGTAGCTGATGAAAGGATTTGAAGATCAACTTTACACCATTAAAAATAAATGAATAAAAACTGGTTGACTTACTTTAAAAAAATAATTTTAAAGATCAATAAGATAATACAGGGACCTATATAAACAGTCTTAAAGAGGTTGTTTTCAGGTAGAATAGATATAAGGAAAACAAAATGGGAAGAAAGAGAAACTAACTCAACTTTTATTGTCTCACTGACTTTTTAAAAAATACTGTGATATTCTCAGTGAAGAGGGGAAAAAATGATACTAAATGCAAAGTTCAAGTAAAATAACATACTTCCTCCTCATTCCAAAATTCCCTTCACCCCCACTGCCTCTCTCTCTCTCTGTCTCTGTGTCTCTGTCTCTGGCTGTCTGTCTGTCTGTCTGTCTGTCTGTCTGTCTGTCTCTCTCTCTCACACACACACACACACACACAAACACAGCGTAAATACTTCTCTTTTTGCTACTTGTGTTCTGAGTGAGGATGTCCAAGGGCAATTTTTCCAGAATGAGTAAACATTATATGTACTTAACTGTAGGTAATACCATCCCTGAAAAGTTCCCAGTTTCATATTTAATTCCATGTTCCTTCTAAAGAGAGAATGTGGTAGTAGAAAATGATAAAAGGGAGCATTCTTATTCACCAGAGGCATCACCCTTTCTATCAATATTTCCAAATAATATCTGGACAGAAAGTGGGGCCTTTGAAAAGTACCAGGGTTACAATATTCATGAACAGCAATCCATACTCATCAAGTAGAAAGTTGGTTCACCAGAATTGAATACATGCATGTATATACACATAATTACTCCAGCTATTTAAGAAGAGGCTGTTCCTTATCTTATTTGTAATGTTTTAGCTGCCACAGTATTCATAGATCATGCTGTTCTGAGTTCCAAGTGCAGTGTTTCAGAGAAGGGTGTCCAAAATGTAGAGAAGAGACATGGGGTATGGTAGCCAGCTCTAAAATAGCACCCAATACTCCCCATCTTTTCATATTCACATCCTTGTGGAGTCAACTCCCCCTTTGTATCAGGATTTGTTTGTATGATCAATAGGATATGTGAGAAGTTGTAGTATATGGTTTCTGAAGCTAAGTCATAAAAGACATTATGGTTTCACTCTCCCGGGTCACTCACCCAAGCAGTAAATGGTTACTTATCCTAGGAGCCAATTCCAATATCATGGAGACACTCAAGCAGTGCTGTGGAGCAGTTCATGTGGTGAGGAACAGAGGCCTCCAGCCAACAGCCATACTCTCCAGCCCAAGTCAAGTCTTAGATGGCTATAATCCTGACCAATATATTGATTATAATGTCATGAGGGACCATGAGCCAGAACCATCTTCCTAAGCCACTCCTGAATTCCTGACTCAGCAATTGGGATGTAGTAACATTTTAAGCCACAAAATTTAGGGTAATTTTGTTACAGAGCAATAGATACTAATACAGAGGGGCTGCATGCTCAGAAAAGATGGACTCACTTCATTTCAGGGGTGCAACCCACAATGATATTTAAAATATTTTTTAAAAGAAAACTGATTTGGTCAAGTTTGAGAAAGACAGATGCACTCCTATGTTTATCACAGCACTATTTACAATAGCCAAGAATTGGAAGCAACCTAACTGTCCATCGGTAGATGAATGGATAAAGAAGATGTGGTACATATACACAATGGAATACTACTCAGCCATAAGAAGTGGAAAAATCCAGCC